ACATGGCCATCGTAAAGGGAACGCGTTTCAACTGCCACTGGGAAACAGAGACACAGAAAACGCTGAGAAAGGAGTCCTGTTCCAACACCACAAAGCTCCCCAGGAATGTCTGCGATGAAGGCCACAGCCCCCGCAAGGGCAGCGGCGTCACGGGGCCTGGAGGAGCCGGTTCTGTTCTGGGCAGCGTGGCAGGCTGTCCGAGGAAGAACAGAATCCCTCTCACTCTCTCCCCCATCCTCCCCTTCCACACATCCCATGGTGGCTCTCCCAGCACTGGCCTTGGAGAATCACCCCCAAAGGCTGCCTTTCTCCCCGAAACTGCCAAACCCCAAAGGATCCTAAGGAGAGGATGTGAGGTCTGGTCTCTGGTTGGGGTAAGTCCTCGAGTTCATCCAGTTTCTCTCTGACCTTTACCCCTCAGCCCATTCGGGGCCTAGGACCCAACGCCATCCCCACATCCCCACCCAGGCCCACCAGCCAACACGCAAAGCCTCCTCCAGGAAAAGCAGGTGCTTTCACGGCACACACACTGGTAGCAGCGCCAAGGCCCCGCTTCCCATGGACAGTGCGGGCAGGGAGGCTCGGAAGCCTCTGGTCGGAGCCCCTGGACCGGGAGACCGGCGCTCTGGCTAGCCTGAACCCACCCCTCAGCAGCCATCCTGGCCGGCATTTCAGAGCGAGTCTAGGTGTTACCTAAGCATCAGACAAGAGGCCTGACCCAGGCTTGACCTGGACCCCTCCCAGGTCCTGGAGCCTAAGGAAAAAAGCAATGAACTACCTTCCAAGGTCAAATGCCCCCTTCTACCCTGTCCCCCAGTCCCAGCCACACCCAACCACCTTCACCACGCCTTCCAGATCTACCCACAGCTGTGCCGTCATACATGAATGTCTCTCCGTGGACACATGTTTACGAAATTTATTTATTGAAAACGCCACCACAATAAACAGAATGCCGGAACCACCTGTCATACACAGGTAGCCAACAAAAGCAGGGCTATAAAAGTCGGGAAGCTTTTCCCACCTGCCCTAAGCCCGCGGCCTGTTCCCAACTTACAGGGGAAGTCAGCACGGGGTCCAGAGGCATGAGAACATGTTGGCACCAAGCTGGGGCCGTCTCCTTGGCATAAAAGGATTGCAAGACAATGGGAAGGGCATCCTGTTCTTGCTCTTTGTGCTTAATGCAGGCCCGATACTAGCGACAAACGTCGCAGGGGAGTGAGGTATCCACCGATACGCTGGGACTGCGGGGCTAGAGGTTCCCTCGGCATCATGCTAACACCGCGTGGAAACAGCATTCTCCGGGCACACCTTCAAGGCACCGCCAGGTTCCCCTCCTCGTGTGCCCGTTCTCACACCGAGGCCTGGCAACTCCTTCTCCCCACGCCTGCCCCCAGCAGAGGTCACCGGTGACTCAGGTGGGACACCAGGTAGACGAGGCCCACCAGCAGGAGGCCGCGCACGCCGAGCATCATGAGCAGGAAGAGGAGCAGGATGGAGGTCACCGGCTCCACGGCGTGGTTGCCCAGATGCCACTGGGGGAAGCCCATGTTCACCAGCTGCCGGTTGAGGTCATTGAAGGGGGACTGAGCAGCGCCCAGCCTGGCTCCCCCCTGCTGCTGCTGCCGGAGGCCGGGACC